CAATAAATGTTGACTCATAACATTCTCCTCCAATCCTCCCTCAGTGCATACCTATTTTCTGTATTGGCCTAATTGTGACCATTTACATACAATTTTACACCCCGTTTCTTTCTCTTAACATTAGGCCAGAAATATTTTTAATGCGCTTATAAACTCTTCATAAGCACTTTCATTGCCTGGATAATATCCCAGTCATGGCTGTAGCCCACTCTTCACACCACCCTGGGCGTTTTCTGTAACTGTCAGGCATTCCGCCGGCCGCCAGGTTTCTGTGGAAGTTACTGAGCAGGCCTCACTGTGGCTCAGCAAAGCGGTATTTGCTTATTTATTTCTGGCAGTTGCACCAACATGCAATGTATGCGCCGTCCATTTCTCTCGGTCACTCGCACTCCTAAGAGCTGTGTAACCATCACCGCCATCCGTGCCGGGACATTTCTTCTTCCTTGTACTCATTGTTGGCTCTCCATTTCCTTCCCACTCCCCCGCATGTCCCTTTGAAATGGTGTGTCCACTAGTTGTCTCTATAGGTGTACCTCCCCTAGATTCATAGACAGGAAAACGTACACAATCAAAACGAAGACAAACAGCCCAACAACAGTGACAGGCTGAGACAGAAAAACCTCAATCGAGAAAACAAAGTAGAAAATATCAAAAGCTGGCACCGCTCTGCGCTGGATCCAGAGGGAGACCAATGAGAAGGTGTCACCTTTTGAGCTAGCTCCAGCTGCGGGAATCCACCCTACAGGGCCCTCTGCCTGCAAACCAGGCCTTTTCCTTTGCTAGCCTGTAATCGGAGGGGATTCACCAGAGGCTTAATCCATACAGGGCACCCTGGGAATGGGGTTTGGGCTTTCACTGTCATCCATATAGGCTGCTGCCAAACTGGCTGTTGAGAATTTAGGCTCGAATACCACTCCTTCCTCTGAGTTTGTGTTTCATTACTTGCATCCTTAGGTCACATATGTTGGTGTGCTTCTTTTGTGTGGACTTAGCTGATGCCTCACTTCGAGGGCAGCTGCTTGTTTAAAGACAAACCTGTAAGACTTCAGACACTATGCTTTCGAATAGCCAAGCGCTATCTGGTTTCCTCACCACACTTTGCAATGTCTTCACTGATCGCATCAGGGGGCAGGCATTGAGCAGGACCACGTGTCATAAGAATTAATTGTTCTTAGATTAGGGCTCCAATTAGGCAGGAGCTCAAAATCCACTCATCTGGCCATGGGTTATATGGGTCCCTGGTTCACTTTAAAGCCATCATTATTATTTTGTTGAAGGTCGTTAGCATGGGTTCCCATGGGGCACATGGTAGTTCTATTGATACCACCTCTAATTTAGCCGATGATATAGAATTTAAAACACTGTCAAGAAAAAGAAAGATACGTGTGTAGGACATATTTAGACCAAAGTATTTTGTTGTTGATTTGTAGATTGCCAACCAAAATATTTTGTTGTTGATTTGTACAGATTGCCAGCCTAGGTGACTGGACATTTAAACAATAATGGTGGGAGACGGGGCAGAACTTTCATAAAGGTAGGACTTCTTCCTAAAGGTAGGACTGGACTAACTATGTCATAAAAGGCGAGAGAGTCTGGAAGAGCACATGTAAGGTGGTCTTGAGTTGCCATTTATCGGGCGTCCTCAAGGAAGGCATGGATTTTGAGCGGAAGCCCAATGTCTTCCTCATCCATCGCCTTGGCATAGTAGTCGTCTGCTTCGTCTCACAGTAGGGCATTTCAGCCTTAGGCCCATGGGAGTAGTTCAGTTCCTTTAATCTGCTACCAGTGTGTTTCAAGGAAAGTCCCGTTTGTTTAGTGGGAGTTCCAAATTGGATTCTTCTGGTGTGACCTATAAGGATGATGCTCGCCTTGAAAGGACAGGGTTAAAGTCCTGGTTGTTCACAGACAGAAGGCTGCATCAAAACCAAGTCACGAGCGCCCAGTTAGGGACATGATAGCGAGCTGATGCTCCCTTGGTGGTCTCCTCCCTTCATGCTAAGTGTTTCTTTTCCTTCCCCAACAGCAGGCTTCCCCGCCTGGCTTCCCCACACCAAAGCGTAATCATCGTCCCTGAGACAGACGAGGCCTCGGCCCACCACCGCTTGACTTGCGTTTCCAGTAAGGCTGACTGACCACTCCTGTGGTGGCGTCTGTTAATTTGGGGTGATCCTAGAAGAATGTTGTATGGCAGGAACTGGCTGGTCTTCCTCTCGCCCCGTATCGTGGGGAATTGGTGCCGTTTAGGTGAGGCCTTCCCCGTCAAGTGGTTTGTAAGATGTGCCCCTAAAGGGGTGCTATATGATTCCTGAGCACTGGGCATTACCTAGGAAAATGGAATAGATTAGATGACCCGAGAACAGAACCCTGCCTTTGTTTGGATGTTTATTTTCATAGTAGTGGTCTCATACAATATTTGTCCTTTCGTGATTGACTCATTTCCCTCAGCATAATAGAATCCAGATCCATCCCTGACATGAGGCGTTTCATGGTTTCAGCATTGTTTTTAGGGATGCCTAGTATTCCGTTGTGTGTGTGTACCACGGTTTTTTAATCCATTCTTCTCCCAATGGGTATTTGGGCTGTTTCCAGCTTTGTGCCATTGTGAACTTTGCTTCAAAACTTTATTGTGAGCCAGAGGGGCCGTGCTGGGTCAGCCCTGGTGATTCAGCACGTTGAATCCACCAGCCACCCCTCAGGAGAAAGATGCCTCCATCTACGTCCATAAAGAGTTACAGTCCTGAAACCCTCAAGGACAGTTCTACTATGTCCTGCAAGGTCACTATGAGTCTGGACTGACTCGGTGGCAGTGAGTTTGGTCTTTGGATCTCAGAACCAGGCCCAGAGCTGGATCCAGAGGAGGCAGAGATACATGGGACAAGTTCACTGTCCTTCAGAAGCACACCGATTGAGGCTTTAGGATTGCATTTTGTCTCACCAAATGGGGAAAATGGATTGGAAGTGAAGATTCTGTGGTCGGGGCTACCCCTGAGGAGGCAGGTGGCAAAGAAAGGCTGACCAGAAATAGTGACAATGAGAGTGGAAGGGAGGAGACAGTGGGCGTGAGCAGGCCAGCACCTGGCTGAGTTTTAAACCAAGTGAGTGGATGTCGTGAAAGAAGAGGAAGGACAGAAATAGGATAACTATGATTTTCAGCCTCAGAATCTAAAAGGATTGAGCATGGTTTAAGAGTCCAGGAACAACGTAGGTCCATCTTACCTATTTGATCTTGACCAAGTAATTTAAATGGAGTCAGCCTGAGTTTTCCCATCCATCAGCAGGAAATAATAGCGGAGATTCCTCATAGAAGTATCAAGATCGAGTCAGATTGAATATGAAGATTAAGGGCCAGGCATACTCATAAGAATAGCCATGTAGTATATCAGGCTTCAACCTATGTACATTTTATATATTAAATTTCTTCGATTCTCACAACCCTATAAGAAAGGTGTTGTCACTCCTCTTGTTTTATAGTGAGGACACGGGCCCAAAGAGGTCATTTGTGCAAGGTCTCACAGCTAGTCACAGAGTTGGGACTCTAACCCAGACAGGCTTTCATCAGAGTTCTTGTTTTTTCATTTTGTTGTTAACTTTTTATTGTGAACCAGGGGAAGGCTTCCAGAGCAGACCATCAGTTCATCTGAATCTCATTCCACCCTCCACTGCGATCTCTCAGTCACTGCTAGCACTGAGCCCTCTCCTCCTCTGGGTTCCTCTTTCCATTGATCCTTTGTCCTAAGTCTCTGAACTTTGTCCTTGGGTCAATGCTTCCTTTAGATCTTAAACGGTTGATTGTTCCAACACGGAGTGAGTTCAGTTCCAGACCTGAAGGGGTACCAAGGGCCATCGTTTTGGGGGGACCGACCCCTCTCTATTCAACTAGTCAGCCTGGTTCCTCTTAAGATATTGAGTTCAGTTCCATGTTTTTATCTCATTCCACCCAGGATCTTCTAATGTGATCCTTTTCAGAACAGGGGTGTGTTAATCCGGGTAGACTAGAGAAACAAATTCATAGACACTCATAAGTGTATAGGAAAGAGCTTCATATAAAGAGTAGTGGTACATTAAGAAAACATCCCAGACCTGTCCAGATCGAGTCCCTAAATCCGATATTGTCCCATATGTCCAGTACCAGTCTGTAAATTCCTCTTCAGACTCACGCGACACATGTAATGACGCTGAGTTCAGGCCAGGGAGTGGAAAGTCTTGTGGATACAGTGGCGGTGGAAGCATCTTAGTGCTGGCGTGGGTCTCCACATGGCTCCTCCAGCTCCAAGGCTCTGGCTGCCATCAGCGTAGCTCCATGTGGCTTGTCAACAGGAATATCTCACAGGGAGAGATCGTGTGTCCCGCCTCAGGGAGCTATTCATCTCTTAGCACCTCCAAATGAAGTCATCAAGCTGCAACCTGATCAACAGGCTAAACACCACCCCTTTGCTCATAATAATCTCAGGTTGGCAACAGATTATGTAACTACCACAAGGGGGTAGTGGTCATCGGGCACCATCTACTTCTTCTGGTTTCAGGACATGGAGACTAATGTTTGCATGATTCGTTAGTCTTTTGGACTAGTGGTGTCCATGCAGCTTCAATGTTCTTCACTTTTCTCTCCTGGACAGGGAGAGACCAATAGTTCCACCTTAGATGGCTGCTGCTGAGCTTTAACGATTCCCTTGACACTTATCAAAGTGGAAAGTAGAACATTGTCTTTGTGAACTGGATGGTTGGCCTTGTTTGGTGTCCCCCGCAACTATGGTCTTGATCCTCTAGGCTCAGTGAGAGTCACGGTTTTTCATAGTGAAGCGTGCCTAGAGTTTATTTGTTAACGAGTTTGTCCCTGCCACCTGGGATGCTAAGCTGAGAGGGAGTGCACCCAGTTTGCAGGGCAAGCCTTCCAGCTGGTGTAACAAGGAGCTGTGTTCTAACGCTTCACCGCGGTTCACTGACTTGAGGATTGGCTCTCCCTGACTCCTGATGTGCTTACCTGTCTGTGAGGCGGCGCCATGCTGAGTGTAGGATTCCAGAGGGGAGTCTCTGTGGAGATGTCCAACAGCTGGCTGGAGCTTGGCTTAGCCATCCTGGACAGGAGGCCGGAGTGTACTGCAGCCCAAACGCCTGCCCCGGAGTTAGTTCCAATCACAGCAACCATGTTGGAGAGCGCACCGGTTTCTGAGGGTGTCCATCTTAAAGGAAGCAGATGGCCTCCTCTCTCTCCCATGAAGCAGCTGGTAGGCTCCAACCACTGGTTTTCTGGTTACCTGTCTGTGCCCCACACTTAACCCCTCGCACCACCAAGGCTCCCTCCATGATTGGACAATGTTAAGAAATTTAAAAGAACCATGCAGTCATCGACCTCAGATGCTGCAAGAAGAGAGAACGGACGACATGCAAGGTCCTCCTTAGTGACCTTGGGGGAAGCAGATTCAGCAGAATGGGGGGGGGAGGGGAACCTCACAGTAGGACTCACAGCTATGAGAATACTCACTCATCACTGGCATTGACTTATAGAGACCCTATCAGACAGAGTCAAACTGCCCCCAGGGGTTTCTGAGACTAAGTCTTAATGGGAGTAGAGAGCTTCGTCTTTCAGTCTCAGAGCTGCTGCTGGTTTCGAACCACAGACCTTGCTGCTAGCAGCCCTACGTGTTACCCACTATGCCAGCAGGACTACGAAAGTAGTGCAGACAAAATACAAGGCTAAGAGAAAGGAGACCGAACACTGGGTTGGGTGTCAAGGGACTTGACACAAAGCCTGGGTCTGACCATTTGCTGTGAGCGTGAGCTTGGGTGAGTTAGCATAGGTAAGATATCGTTTCCTTGTTGGTGAAATCCGGAAATCAGATCCAATTCTGAAGCTGTTGGGTGTCCGTGGTGGAACAACAATGAAGTCAAAGGTTGGCCTGCCCGCATGCACCTCGGGAGAAAGACCTGGCACCCGATTTCCGAAAGGTCACAGCTTTGAGAATTGCATAAGTCACCGTTGACTCGGCAGTAACCGGTTTCCTTCATGTTATTTGGCTTTTTAGGGTCGCTGGTGGGATAAGGAACTTCTGTAAAGCACTCAGCCCAAACCAAACCCCAACACACTGACATGGAGTGGATTTCCACTCACAGCAAGCCTGTAGCACAGGACAGGACTGCCATTGTGTATTTCTGAGACTGTAACTCTTCAGAGGCACAGAAAGCTCATCTTTCTCCCTCGGAGTGGGTGGTGGCTTTGAACTGCTGACCTTGTATTTAGCAGCCCAACACATAACCACTATGCCACCAGGGCTCCTCAAAACACCTAACAGGTGATACAAATTAATGTGGTTGAGGCTCTTATGAAAACTCACATAGAAATCACTTGGCCTTTGGAGATGATGCTTCAAAGGTAAAGGAGCCCTGGTGGTGTGGGGTGACCAGCATCGGGTGGTGACTGGAAGGTTGGTGGTTCAAATCTACCAGCTGCTCCACTGCAGAAAGATGAGGCTGTCTGCTACCCTAAAGAGGTACAGCCTTATAAACCCTACATGGGTCACTCTGAGGCTGTCTACTCTGTAAAAAGCTGCGGCCTCAGAAACCCACTGGGGTGGTTCTAGTCTGCCCTGGAGGGTCGCTATGAGCCGATTGACTTGACGGCAGTGGGTTTGGTTTGGTTACTCACAAGTAAAGCTGGTCGTGGCTACTCGGACACTGGGAAGAGTTTTGACAAAGGCTTGATGAGTTTCCCTGGGGTTCCTCAGAGCCACAGCCTCTCAACCGACTGAGATGCGCGCGCGCGCGCACACACACACGCAATGACCAAGACGTTAATTATTATTATTATTTTTTAATGACAGTAGAAAGTCTCATCTTTCCCCTGGTGGTTTTGAACTGCTGGACTTGCCACCACTACGCCACTAGGACTGAAAGGCCAGGAGGCTGTAAATTCCTGCCTGTGCCACAGCTGAGACAAGTCCTGGGGCTCCTGCAGTTTCTGTGGGTTATTGTTCTTCCTCCCCCAGGGCCCATTGAAGCGATCACTTGGCTGGGCTGACCAATGGTTAGAACCCTGAACTGGGAGAATGAGCTTCCTCTTGCAGGGCAGACTTTACAGCTGATGAAACAAGGCCCTTGAACTAATACATCACCTCAGTTTACTGACCTGAAAAGTGCCTCTTCCTGCCGCTCATGTGCTTAGGAGGGAGAGGTGCTGTGTGGCATTAATCTTTGCATTTTGAGGAACGGCACTTCCTGCCATGCAGGTGGGAGCCCTGATGCTGATTGGTAGGGTGCTCCTTGCTCGGCTATCAGCGCTTGTGCGCTGAGAACTAGCTTCCCCGTGGGGTCCCCTTTCCTCCCAGTCCTAGTCTCTGGAATGTTTACGTCTTAAACTTTCACATCTTCTTCTGACCACGTGTCTGGTTGGTTCCTGCGTCCAGTCAATGAGCACAAGCCGGAGTACTGTCCCCTAGAACTCATTGTGTGTGGGTTTCACCATCAAAATGGCTCTACTTCTGTCCTTTGGAGGTTTAGAGTCTGGTGAGAGCAGGAACCTCTCAAGAACAAACTGAAACGGACACTTTTGAAAGTGTCTTATAAGAAAAGCCCACACCTTGGCTCATTGAAGCCTGAGAAGGTTTGTCGGTTCCACTCAGGAGGCCTGGGAGATCGAATGGGAGGGCAGCATTTGAAGTAATCTGGCGGGGAGAAAGACAAGGCTTTCTACTCCCGTAAACAGTTAATGTCTCAGAATCCCACAGGCCGGTTCTACCCTGTCCTGTAGCGCTGCTGTGAGTTGGAATTGACTGGCTGGCAGTGAGTATGGTTTTCTGAGTTTTGACAGGAGGGGGATGGGGGCGGGGCGGTGGGGAGGCCTGCTGAGTTGATAGCACAAAGCCAAAGGACACACTGTAGGTCAGGCGACAGGCCGGAGATTCCTACAGTCTAAGTCTGTAGATCGGCTGATGGGAAGAATGGAGTTATGGCAAGATTCCTGCTTATAGTCTGGAGGCCAACAGTTGGGTCTTGGGAGACTCAACTGATTGGTTGAGATGCACCCACATTATGGAAAGTACTCTACTTCCCTTGCGTTTTACCACACGCCACCGCTTTGCAGAAGCAACTAGACTAGTATCTGACTGCCCGGGCACCGCAGCCTAGCCAAGGTGACACAAAACTCACCATCACGGGCCAGACTGGTGAGGCAAAGGGGAGGGAGAGTGTCATCAGGGGCTGAGACATCTCCTCTCCTTCTCTGCCTTCCTTCCTTCTTGCCTGCCTTTCAGCCACATGCTCTCCCCGCCCTCGGACATCAGCTGAGTTAGCTGTATCATCCACACCACGCTTCTCCCCTCTACTCTCCGCCTTTCTGGGACTAACCTATTAGGCGCTGGGTGACTGGGTGGACCCCCCACCCAGGAGCACCATGCCTGGGTGCCCCCAGCCCACACTGCTACAGACTTGGGGTGGACTTGGGGTTCTCCCAATATCCTCTGTCTTTCAGTGTCAGCTCGGGCAATTTATGTGACCTTTTGGCTGTGGCCGTATGCCGTCGTAACCTGGGCCACCTCCTCATTTAATATCTTCCATGAACTCCAAGAAAACGGTTCCGGAACTGAGTCGTCCAGGGCAGCTGGAGCAGCCCTGGGTTTGGGGGTGGTGGGGGGTGGGGGTGGGCAGGGATGACTATTAGAGGGCTTGAGGCCTGCAGTCCAGGCAGGAGCGCGGTCCCAAGCCAGGCCTGATGAGTACCTGGTGTGTTTTCTTTCCCGCCGGATGCCCTCCACTGCCGCGGCCACCGCCTCCCCTCGCCTGCTGCAGTGTGCCAGATCCTGCCCAAGGGGGTCGTGGCTGTCCTGGGACCATCCTCCAGCCCCGCCTCCAGCTCAATCATCAGCAACATCTGTGGGGAGAAGGAGGTGAGTGTTGGGCCCATGGGGGCAGCACGTGTGTCCAGGGACTCCAGGATGTCATTGGCCCAAGGGGCTTCCAACAGAAGGAGCCCCTCACCACTGGGTTGGTGCCACTAAGAGCACTCCCAGCACAGTAAGAGATGCGGCTTTGTTGTTGGCCTGAGCACTTGCTTTGCTCCACACTGTTTGGGTGGGGGAACAACTCCTGCGGGCCCTCGGCCTTGGGGCGGTGCCTTCAGTGGTCCAGGGGGAGAAGGGGAGGATGGTGGCCAGGGGAGGCCAAGAGGACTCCAGTACTCAGATCCCATGCGCAGCTCCTCAGTGATCTGCTTCTCTATTGGAGGGCTGAGGAAGAATGCCTTTGGGAAGAGGGGCAGCTGTATTGCTGAACTGAAGTCGGGAAACCTAAGTTCTCTGGAAAAGAGATTTTGATTTGTTTTCTTCTGGAGCCTCCCACCTCCTCTCCTTGGTAGACTGTCTCCCCCCACCCCCCACCCCCAATTGGACCTGACGTTTTAAGGCATCGAGTCCATGTCCTCTGGCTCTAGTTCCCTGAGAGATGCAACATGGCGGGACAAGAGTCTTTGAGTCCCAGGCCACTTCTGCCTCCTCCAACTCTCCCCTCCCTTCTTCCCCAGAGAAAACAAATGCGAAATAAGCTTTCCTGGAACCGAACAGTCCTCTCCTTCAGATGTGTCCTTGGGAGTCCTTAGGAGTAGAACTCCTAGCCCCTCCAAGCCCAAAGGCCTTCCTGGCCAGGTCTGGGGGCCGATGGAGCAGGGTGGTGAGGACTAGCCAGGGAGAGGGAGGAAAATGGGCAGGGGAAGTGATTGATGGTTCACCGGCTCTGTGATTCCTGTGGTGATGAGCTCCCAGAAGCTGTAGCCTTAGAAAGAGTCAAGAATAGGATGGGGCACCCCACAATGCATGACAGCGGAGGCCTCCCCAGCCAGCCGCCTCTGTGGAGACGAAGCAGCAGCAGACAAGTGGCTTCCTAGCCCACGGCCTCCTGGGATCACTTTGAGCAGAGGACTTAGCCAGTCCTTGAGGCTGTGGGCAGAATATCCGTGTTCCCTGTTTTATTGTGGGCCCACTCGCCACATTGTGGTCTGCACATTAAAGGGTTAAAGTGTCCTGGAGACACCCGTCCCAGGGTTGGCTGTGCTTGGTAACTGGGCCCTTCCCCTCTAGCCTCAGCCCCCTAAGCTTTCTTGCCTGGGAAGGGCTTGGGCTTGGGCCCCATCCACCCCACTTTCTCAGATATCTAGAAGGTTGACTCACCAGCCAGCCAGGCCAGAGAGATCCACCTGTCCCTCTGTAGTCCCTTCTAGCATCTCACAGGCCTCGGCCCCAGGACATGAGCGCTGGGGTTGAATTGAAATCCCTCTTGCCAAGCTCCCAGTGAAGTCTCCCATCGGTGGCAGGTGGTTGTTTCAGCAGCCGCTCTGATCGTCACCAAGTGAGGTGGCCAAGACCTCAGCCTCCAGCCTCTCTCCTGTTCTCTCTTGGCCTTTTCTGTGCCCCTCCCCCCTCCTCCCTGTCACCAAGCCCATTCTAAAATGCTGTCCCCTGGGCTGGAGGTGGAGATACAGACCCTGATTTCCGAGGCTCCAGCCCCCAGCCCATTCCCTGTACCATCACCAACCAGCCAGACAGCAGCGCTGCCCGGGGACTGGCCAGACAATTACCTCCTTTGTCTGCGCGTGTTCCTTCCGGAGCAACCTTCCCTCCCCGTCCAGATTATGCACTCCTTTTAATATTTGATGAAGCTGAACTGCCTTACACTGATTCCCCCAGCTCCATGGAAAAGAGATGGAGTTCTCACCAAGGAGTTCAGTCCTTGAAATGCTGCTAACCTGGCAGCAGCCCCAGTGGCTGGCTGGTTTGGGACTCACTGCTCTCCCCGCCCTCCTGCCTCCCTCTCTTTATCCCTCCACCCTCCACCCTACTCCCAGCCTTCCTGGTGACTCCTGGGATGCATTTGCACTTGCAGATCAATCGTGGGTTGATCTTGGTCTAGAGGAAGATTCAGCAGGAGTGGGCCTTTCCGAGCAGTTGGTTGCTTCCCCAGCAGCTTTCAGGCTGGAGAGCCATGCTGGGGGATCCTCATCAACATCGCCTTCCCTGGGTTGCCCCTGAACCCCCATCCCATGCACATGCAGCTCTGGGGAGGAGGAGCAAGAGAAAGAGCGGAGACCGTGAGTGCTTACTGCACGTTAGGTACTGAGCGACCGCATCCTTCCTACACAGAGGCTCATTTTGACCTCCCAAAGCTCCCAGGAGCATCTATTGCTGTCTCCTAAGAGGTTTGCCCCCAAATCACAAGGCAGGGTCTGAATGCAAACCCAAGGCGGTGGATTCCAAAACCCACTTGTTCCGCATCTTTCAGAGTCCTTAGCGACATCACTGATGAGTGGATTTCAGGGTACCTGTAAGGTCACCACCGCCCTTTACTGGAGTGCAGGGAAGGGGTGAGCTGGCTGCTCTGGGAGCCCAGTGGAGGTGATGGCCACACACGGAGGACTTTGATGGGTCATGCTTCCAGGTGTAAATCAGCCACTCCACCCTGCCCTGCCCAGCCACTACCTCCATCTTGCTCCTGTGCGGCCACTGTTATTTTTAACATATGACTCATTTTAGACAAACGCTATAGGCTGCAGGACACTAGAGGGGAGAAAACCCTCTATGGCAGACATGCCTCGGGCCACCATCACGCTTCAGAGTCTTTTGTAATTCACTGGGCTTGCCCCAGTTCTGAGCATTTTCATCACCGCCAAACACAGGGCGATATTGCTTGGTTCTTTCTGCTGCTCACTAGCTAATGCTGGCTGAGTGTGGGTTGTCCCCCGGATTTCTGTTTCACCCCACTCTCAGAGGAGCTCTGGTCTCTGACCAACTTCCCCCAGAAGGATAAGACCAGTAACCGCCTACAGAGACCCCCTCAGCATCTTCCCAGACGCCTGCTAAGACACCCGTGAACCATTGTGCAAAGAGACTCCTGTAATGCTTGCTGACCAACCCACCCTCGAAGCCAGCTGACTCTCCCTCGGGCAGTTCTTCATGCCGCCTACCCCAGTCTTAGTCGCTGTCCCAGCAGTATCTAGCCAGGCTTGCTACAATTTGGCCTGCCCACACAGAGGCTCTCGCTGAGGGATTGGGTGAGGTTTCTGGCCCATCTGCCTGTGATAGAAGTACCAGGCAGGCCTCAGCTCTCTCGGCTCCAGATGCCAGGGCTGAGGGCGACAGACCCAAATCAAGGTGGATAGCAGCTTATTACATTTTAACTTTCTTGTTACCAGCAGAATAGCCCACGCTGCCAATAGAGCAGCCATCGCAGCCTGTTAATCTCTCTTCCTGGGAGAAGACAGGCAGGAGGCAGGGGCAGCGCCTCCCGGAAATATCAGTAATAGATGCAGAGGGAATCTGACACTGTCCTAATGAAGCCAAAGCAGGTATTTATTTACCTGGCTCCAGTCACCGCTTCTAGATGGGCTCTCAGCTGCCGGCGCAGCCTCTCCCTCCTGATGGAGCCTCCTGCCTGCCCTCTGCCTCCGAGCTCCCCCTCAAAAGTTAGTGCAGACTGGGCTACCCAAGTGGTGGCTGAGCTGGTAGAATGGGATGCCTCGCTCAGGCCCCAGGGCAGCAGTTCTTCTCTCGTCTTGCCAACTTGGCTCTGATGAATGCACTACAAACAAAATATTATAGGGATTATTCCTTTAAGAATCAGTTGCCCCTCCTGCCCAGCAAATAGTTAGTTCCTCTGGGAGTAAAGACCTCTTGCTGTACTTTCTCAGGGGATGGAAGTCCTGGACGTCCTTGCGTGGAGGGAGGCCCTGGGCCTGCAAGCTTGGCCTCTCACGAGCCGGGCGGCATCGGGCAGAGGTCTTCTGCAGGAGCCCGGCCTCCTTCGTTTTGTCTCACGCAGCGCTTTACCTCTTTCACCCACCCTGGATTTTCCCCGCTGCCCGTTTCATGCCCCTGCCCAGGTCCCCCATTTCAAAGTGGCCCCAGAAGAGTTTGTTAAGTTCCAGTTCCAGAGATTCACAACCCTCAACCTCCACCCCAGCAACACGGACATCAGCGTGGCTGTCGCCGGGATCCTGAACTTCTTCAACTGCACCACCGCCTGCCTCATCTGTGCCAAAGCAGAATGTAAGTTTGCACTCCGGCTTCCGGTCCTTCTGGCTAAAGACACACCAGGACGGGGAGGGCGCCCTCAGATGCTGTGGTCTGAGAACCATTGGGTGTGGGGAATTCGTGTGTGTTTATACATGTGTGTATGTAAGACACACACACACACACACACACACACACACACACACACACACACACACACACAGAATTGTCCAGGACCACCCTTTGCCAGGTCTCCCAAAGCAGAGATTTGGGTTTGGGGAGAATCTGGCCAACCTCCCAGCCTCTTTGCATCGCCAAACTTAATTCCCACATTCTCAGCCTCATTGTTAAGGAGATACAAAGAGAGCGGGAGAGGGAAAAATAAAATTGGCTGCATTTGTACTTAATGGGTTGAAGAGCTGCTTCCCCGGAGATCGGGTTTTGCTGATGGAACAAGGTCCAAGGTCAATTCCTGATAAAGCATTTTTTTGCAGTGCCGGTTTGGGGAATGCATTTTCTCTGACTCTCAGACCATTTGCGACATAAATTTGGTGTTTATGAGATTTAGCTAATTTAAACCAGCACCTTCCAGCAAATCTGTGCAGCTGTGTGCTCCTGGCAGCAGCTGTGTACCCATATGTGGTCAGGCACAGATGCTGGCCACTGGCTACCACTGAGCCCCAGTCAGCTGGGTCTAACATAGCTTACCTACCTACACACCTTACCCTGCAGATCTTTGGGCACGATCCTGTCAAAGTTATGCTACCTTCCATTAAAATCTGATTCTGTGGCTCTCGGAATTGCTCTGCATACTGAAGCCCCTCCAGCGGTCCCTATGTCACCCAAAGCAAAAGCCCCCTTGCTCTTGAGGGACAGAACCACTAGCTTCATGAGACCTTCACACCCGAATGCTTCCCTATTCATCTCTTCAACATCTGTACCTTACTAGTAGTGTACCTTACTGGTAGTGTAGTGGGATCTGCATTGAACTGCTACTTGCCAGGTCAGGGGTTTGAACCCACCAGTCACTCTGCAGGAGAAAAGTGAGGCTGACTCTGAAACCCAAAGGAGCAGCTCTCCTCTCCTCTAAGAGTCGCTCCGAGTTGGCCCTGACTTGGTGCAGTGTGTGGCTGTGGCCCGTTATGTACTGGATAGCTTCCCAGTGCCACATGAGAGCAAGGGTCTTAGTAGTTTAGTGGGCTAAGCATTGGGTTGCTAATTGCAAAGTTGGCGATTCAAATGCAGGAGCTGGTCCGTGGGGGGAAGATGGGCGGTCTGCTCCCATAGCACCAACAGCCCCAAAGCCGCATGGAGCAGTTCCGCTCTGCCCTGTAGCGTCGCTGAGAATCAGCACTCTACATCAGAATAACTATGTGTACTTATTTATGTCTTTTCTGTAATTCTTACAACTACCCAGTGAGTTTGAAGGTATTAGAATTTTCCATCTTATAGTCAAGGAAATTGAGATTCAGAGGTGAAGTTGTTAGATCTCTCTGTAGCTAGATATACCTCAGTCCTTGGCTCCACGTGAGAAAGAATTCACGCCGAAGCCTGGCTCGTGATCCAAGTGAGTTTTATGAAAGTTAGAAGAAGTTTCAGGTTTACACGGCACCCATGGGGCTCCTCCTGAACATGCAGCCTGGTTGGAAGCTGCTCGGCATCATGCAAAAGTGTCCCAAAGTCTTGCCAAAGCTCTCTGCACCAAAGTTCTCTCTCTCTCCCGGTCGACTCTGGGCTTCTGCCTTTTCAAGGATTCCACGGGGAGGCATGGTGGACGACCCCTGATCGACCCCATTGGCTGAATTGAGTTCACCTGGCCTAGGTGGGCCAATTCAAGTTCACGCCCACCCCTGCCTACCAGCGGGAATCTCTGGACATGTGCTGTGTGCCACTCCTTTGTTCCCCCTAGCTTGGCCCTCTGGGCACGCATTAACGGACATGCCCAGCTCTAGCTAACCTACCTAACAAAATGATTTGCCCAAAGTCACATAACTTATGCAGGAGAGACTGAGGTCAAAGGCAAGTCTTTTCATTACAAGTTCAGTGCTTCTTCCAGAACTCTCTAGGGGACATGAAGTTGCTGTGACCTCTACCCTGCAGGGAGACAGCAATAGAGGTCCTCAGCCTAAAAGAGCCCAAGGTAGTTTATGGTAAGTGTGAAGTGTGCAGTACACCTAGGCCTTGGGACCTTAAAGGGTGAAAAATGTTTAGATAAGCCCAGAGAAGTGATAGGGTTGCTCGAGGAGGAGAAGGGGAGGGGAGCAGGAATCGGATGGCATGCCTAAGAGAACCCAGTAAGAGCTTTGAGTCTGCATTGACAAGAGATGGAAAGAAAGCCTAAGGGAAGGCAGTGGAGACCTTGGAGAAGCGCAGAGGGAATGTGGGCTTGGTCCGGTGTCGATCAAGAACCCTTAGAGGTTTCTCCACAGAGGAATGCCTTCAGAGGGAAGGTAATTCTAACGATGAGATAGTCCTATGGCGCAACTGGCTTCGGGACCTTGAGGGCATAGAAGTTGAGCATCTCTAATTTGGCCCATGAAGCTAGACACTCAGACTTGGAGAGAGAAATCTGATCGTGTGCCATTTTGAACTGGACCCGACAGGAACCAACATGCTGGACGTGTGCACAGTCAATGCACAGGCATGCAGCGATCCAGATAAGGGCAAGGCTTGTGGGAGAGAGAAGAGAAGAGCAATATGCAGTCTCTGCTCTCAGGGAGGTCGCAGCCTCATTGGGAAACCAAACAGGGCCCTGTACAGCAAGTAAGACCATCACATGATAAGTATTAACTCACAGGCAGTCGGAGTGCGCTGGAATTCCCAGGCAAAGATTGACAAGAGCACTATGAACAGAGTCTGAGCGTCCATCACAGAAGAGGACGCAGACTCAGAAAGGACCCTGATTTTCCTTAGCTCAAAACCTCACACTCACTGTCATCAAGTTGTCTCGGACTCATAGGTTCGAATCCCCTGATGAATAAGTGGGAGGGCTGGGATTTGAAGGTAGATTTCTTGAACACAATGTATTTGACCTTCACTGTTCTACGATCCTCCTCCAACAGGGCCCCTCTCAAGCTGCAATGACAAATGCGGTTACCTGCCAGCCACAGGTGACTGTTTGAATTTGCATGAATTAAACAGAATGAAAGTTAAGTTCCTCGATCGCACTAGCCACCCTTTGAGTGCTCAGTAGCCATAGTGAACAGCCCAGCTATGAAACAATTGTTTCCTCCAACACAGATGGTGGTATTGTGCAGCACTGTTTAGATCATCAGTGTTTTTGCAGCCTGACAGTTCCGTGGCAAAAAAACATAAAATAAAAATATTTGGATAATATTTTATTCTCTCTCCTCTCTATGGATATTTGAACACATATTAATGTGAGCATTCTGCAATACACTGTAGCCAAGACAATCACAGTTGTCTTGACTTACAGCGCATTCAGGTTAGTACACTTATGACCAGCTGGTTTATTTATTTATTTTACATCATACCATTATAATTAGGTACTACATAAAATGCTAAAATATATCTGTATACTTATATACAATGCTTCCAGCCCCCAAAGACAAATAAAGATGGGATCTATAAAGGTCAATGGAAGACAAGAATGCTTGGAGTTCGATATTGTAGGCCGAGTGGGCTGAAATGAACTGGTATTGGCCATTTTGCATCAGATAGCTGTATGGTCTACTACACCAGGAATGACTGAATTGAAGAGAAATAGCCTTCATTGTCAAAAAGAACATTTCAAAATCTAACCTATAGTGTGTCAATGATGGGATAATATCCATATATCTACAAGGAAGGCCAGTCAATACAAGTATTATTCAAATGTGTACATTAACCACTAATGACAAAGATGGAAGAATTGAAGATTTTTACTAACTTAGGCAATCGGAAGCTGATCGAGCATGTAATCAAGATGCATTGGTAATCACTAGTGACTGGAATGGACAAGTTGGAAACAAAGAAGAAGGGTCAGTAGTTAGAAAATATGGCTTTGGTGATGCAAGTGGCACCAGAGATCACATGATAGAATTTCATAGGACCAAAGGCCTATTCATTTAAAATACCGTTTTCTCAGCAGCATAAATGGAGACTATGTATGTAGACCAAGTCAGGTTGAATACATGGGAATCAATACATGGTTAAGTGTTGGGTTGCCAGCTGCAGAGTTACTGGTTAGACTCACCAGCCACTCCTTGGGGGAAAGGTGATGCATTGTCAATCTATTAAAAAAGACCACTGAGAAACTCAGTGTCATCAGTCAGCACAAGGCCAGGGCCCAACTGTGGAACAGACCACAAAATGCTCCGATGCAAGTTCAAGTGACACTCAGGAAAATTAAAACAAGAGCCAAAATATGACCTTGAGAATATCCCACCTGAATTGGGAGACCATCTCAAAAGGAGATTTGAACAAGTTTAACAGTCACCAACCCCCTTGAGAGGATCGGTTACTTGGCTTTGGGATTCGGTGCCACAATACAGTGGACCATCTAGGTCAGTTGGCATCACACAGTCCACAAAGACAACTTTGTTGAGCAGCATGGGGTGGGGGGCGGTGTCTTAAAAGCTTTCAAGTAGTGCCCTAAGATGGAGCTGTTGGGCTCTCTTCCTCGAGAGTGAAGAAGAGTGAAGAGAATAGACGTCTCAAGGGAACAGTTAGTTCGAAGGACTAAGGGACCATGCACACACTGATGACAAAAGATGAGACTCCCTTGAAACCAGCAGAACTAGATGGTATCCTGCTACCACTATCGGCTGCTCTGATCAGGACCGCAATCGGAGGTCCTTGAGAGAGAGGGAGGAAAAATGTAGAACCGAGTTCAAAATTGTGAAACAAAATGACCAGATGTATCCGTCTGACAGACACTAGTGGAACCCTCCCCACCAAGACTGTGATCCACAGACACCCCTCAAGTCTGGAACTGAACTCACCTCTGCGGACCAACCAATAGACAATTCTATCAAGTTACTAATAACAACAGGGAAGCATGGAATTCTCAGCACAATCAACCAGATGAGACCAAA